TATTGATGTTATGTGGGTTTTGTCTTGATTAAACTGTTAGGAAATCAAATACCACCTTGGAGACAATGAATAAAATGAAAATTATAATGTAATACATCAAAATACAGTAGTGTATTTTCAATTGGTTAACTTTACATAATCATTCACTACTGTATTTATGATCTTTAAGACTTTATTTAATAACAATATTTTGCATTATACAGCGACAGAAATTTAATAAACCGTTGCAGTGTAAAGAGTGATGTTGATGCTGCAGTTAATCCTTGTAGACGCTTCTTCATTCTAGAATTAGAGGCACGCATTGTTACAGCTGGAATGAAGGAGCTTGGCATTGAAGAACTAGAAGAGATGTCGCAGTGTGTACCACACCAATTTGAGAGTTGGACCAAGGCTAAGAAGAAAGAATACCTGGAGGAGTTAGCAGCAACAATTGTCGACAAGTATATTCTCGATACAGCCAAACACAAAAAGATTGCCCTTGCCACCAGCCAGCTAGAAGAAAAGCAGTTGCAAAGGCTGAAAGATATGACATCAAGTGGCAGATATAAGTGTCGGGTCCCTGGTTGCAACAAGACATTTAGGTCCGATGGGAAATGGCGACATACTCACGAGCCAGTCTCACAATCCACCAGTCAACATAGAAGAGCAACCACTGCTGACTGAAATCCATGAAGACGTCACAGCAGATGACATGTACAATTACCAGAAATCCCTGCTCGAGTATGGTATGGTGATTCTTAATTTTTTTATGCAATTTCTGAGGGAGATGGTGCTACAGTAATCAGAAATTGGAAATTTCTTTTGTTATATTTGCGTCATGATGGGCAAAGCAGCAACAAGTATGCTCTGGAAGCACTATACATGATGTTCCAAATATATGCACTGTTAAGTCCAAAAGCTGCACATGATCTAGTTTGGAACAGATTTTCAAAAAGAAAACAAAAGCTGGGTGGCAATATCTCTCTTGATCTGGCCCTTGAGTTTTTGAACAGAATTTTCAAAGATGTTGTCAAAAAACTTGGACCTAATGCCAGTACAAAGTCCATCAACAGAATTTGCCATGTTATGGGTGTAACGAAACAGCTAATGGAAAATTTTGACAGTTCAATGTTGTTGTACAAGCGCTCTGGTAAACGCTTATCGTGGAGTTCTTGAGTTCCTTTCTTAAAAGTATTGTGTATTGTGCTGGAGCGTATTAGAGTTATTATCAGCTTCGTCTGTTAGTGCAGTGTGCCAGGACTCTAAGGTTTTAAGGTTCCTATGATTTCCCTTGTCTATTACTTTAGCATTGGCAAAGTCAATAATATGATCTTGAGTCCATGCGTGTTTCGCGACATTCGACCCCTTCTTGCCTTGTTTCACATTCCTCACGTGTTCGGACTTTCTCGTCTTCAGGGATCTTCCTGTTTCGCCTATGTAGCTCCAACTGCAATCTTGACATGGTATCTGGTAGACCACGTTCTTTTGTTCTTCTGTTGGTGGTTTCTGTTTTGCAGATGGGAATTGGCATTCGAGGGTTTTCATTGGCTTATTATAAACTTTAATGTCATGTTTTTGGAGTGTTCTGGCTAGAGGTTCGGTTAGTCCTTTGATATATGGGTAGAACCGCAACTCCTGCAGATGGCGCCTTTCCTTCAACAAGTTCGAAAAATGACCGCACTAACTCTTCAGGACTTGCTACAGTTTTGTTCTTATGTTTTTTGATCAATCCTGAAATTAATTTCCGACACTCCCGGACAGAACTCAACTTGACATTGACGACATTATTCGACTTTTATCTTTTGTTTTATCTAACAGTTTTTTCGTTTATAACAACACCACCTACAAACAAATCCATGGATGTGCCATGGGCAGCCCCGTTAGCGCGATTGTTGCTAACTTGTGCATGGAAGTGATAGAAGAACAGGCCATCCGATATGCAACTTCACCACCTAAAGTTTGGAAACGTTTTGTAGACGATTGTTTTTCCATAACAAAAAAGACTAACATATCATCTTTTCATGACACACTAAACTCCATTGACCCACACATTGACTTCACTATCGAAAACGAAAAGGACGGAAAGATCGCTTTCCTTGACACATTAGTTTCTAGAAACGACAGCTTAATTTTTATTGACGTTTACCGCAAACCCACTCACACAGACCGTTACTTAAACTACCTATCACACCACGACCAAAAACATAAAATTAGTACCGCAACAACACTTATCAACCGATCCTTGTCACTTCCTATCACTGACGAAAGCAAAGAAAGAGAACTAAATCATGTAACCACAGTCCTGACATCAAATGTTTATCCGAAGAAATTAATTTCAGGATTGATCAAAAAACATAAGAACAAAACTGTAGCAAGTCCTGAAGAGTTAGTGCGGTCATTTTTCGAACTTGTTGAAGGAAAGGCGCCATCTGCAGGAGTTGCGGTTCTACCATATATCAAAGGACTAACCGAACCTCTAGCCAGAACACTCCAAAAACATGACATTAAAGTTTATAATAAGCCAATGAAAACCCTCGAACGCCAATTCCCATCTGCAAAACAGAAACCACCAACAGAAGAACAAAAGAACGTGGTCTACCAGATACCATGTCAAGATTGCAGTTGGAGCTACATAGGCGAAACAGGAAGATCCCTGAAGACGAGAAAGTCCGAACACGTGAGGAATGTGAAACAAGGCAAGAAGGGGTCGAATGTCGCGAAACACGCATGGACTCAAGATCATATTATTGACTTTGCCAATGCTAAAGTAATAGACAAGGGAAATCATAGGAACCTTAAAACCTTAGAGTCCTGGCACACTGCACTAACAGACAAAGCTGATAATAACTCTAATACGCTTCCAGCACAATACACAATACTCTTAAGAAAGGAACTCAAGAAACATCAATTAAATATTTATATTCCTCATTTGTAACATAGCATAGATAGTCTCATATTTCATACCACCTACTTAAGTTTAGCGTCCTTTATAGAATCATTTGTATTCACCCGTCGAAGGCTATAGACTGATGGCCGAAAGCTCGTAGAAATAAATATTTAGTCAGAGAACGTTCAATAAATAAATTATGTTTCAACCTGGCTACGCATCCTCTATTTTTTCAAAAATAACTTACCCTGCAAGTAGCTACAGAGCTAGTCGAGGCAAGGTAAATACAAAAATAATAATACGATCATATAAGACAAAAGAAAGAGGTATATATAATTACAGAAATTATTTATTATCTACAAAGAAAACAAAAGCAATTTCAGACTTATGAAGGAAAAATGGAGGAAAATCTAATTATTTATCTGTCGACTATTTTATTTTGAAATAAATTGGTAGCTTTAGAAGCTTTGAATGACAACAGAGTTTAATAATTTTTATATAGTTAGTCCTATTTTCTTAATTATCGTTGGGGATTTGAATGTAGTCATCTTCTTTTTCCAAAATATCAAAAAGTAGTTGCCGAAGAGTCTTTTTAAATAGTTTCTTAGATAGAATCGTTATATGATATGGTATTCCATTCCAAAGTTTAACACCAAATCGAGAGAAGGATTGTTTTTGTATCTCTAGCCCAGAACTTTTCACATAGAACTTTTCCGACATACATAATCGTGTATTATGGGAATGAATACTGGACGATTTATCAAACAAATTCAATATATTTAATGGTGCAGTATTGTTATTTATATCGTACATTAAACCAGACACAGTCTCACAATAAAGAAAGGTAACTGGTAAGATGCGAAGATCAAGAAATAAGGGAATTGCATGATCGTATCTATCTGAAAAATACATCATACTCATTACCCTTTTCTGGAGAACTAAAATTTTATCAAGATAAGTCTTACATGCTTGTCCCCAAACAGCGGTACCATAGGTTAAACACGGATGGATTAGGGACTGGTATATATGTTGATTAGTATATTTCATGGAACAAAATGACGAATTTTTGCAATTAGTCCAATACTTTACTGATTTTCGTTGAAATGGCATCAATGTGATGCTTCCAGGTGAGATTTTTATCAATCAAAATACAGAGATATTCGCTAATGGTTTTATATTCAAGGTTTACATACTTGTTTTGTTCACTGTCAAATATGCAAATTTTTGGTTGATAATCAAGTCTTTTTTGATAAGAATGAAAAATCACAAAGTTTGATTTTTTAATGTTTAGGTTTAGCTTACTGGCGGTCAGCCAATCATAGAGCTTTTGTAATTCAGTATTCACTACACTTTCAAGAGCATTAGCGTTCCTATCAGCGTAGAGAATGTTCGTATCATCAGCAAATAGATAAAACCTAAGTTTATTTGAACATTTGTGGATATCATTAATATATAACAAAAAAAGCAACGGACCAAGAACTGACCCCTGGGGAACTCCACATTTAATATTTGCTTTACTTGATATATGCTGACCAACTTGGGTTGATTGAGTGCGGTTTTTCGAGTATGATGAGAACCATTCATTAACTATTCCACGAAAACCATAATAACTGAGCTTATTTAGCAATATGTTGTGATCCACCATGTCAAATGCTTTCGTAAGGTCAATAAATACACCACAAGTGAAAAGCTTCCAATTCATATTAGTTTGTATGTCATTTACTATATCCAATATGGCAATGTTGATTTGAATGTCCTTTGCGAAAGCCATATTGTGAAGAGTACAATAAATCATGTTTGTCTATATAGTTAATCATTCTTTTGTATACAACCTTTTCAAAAATTCTATTGAAATTTGATAACGAAATAGGTCTATAATTATTTGCATCAGTTTCATCCTCACTCTTATAAACAGGGATAATTTTTGCCATTTTGAGCTTTGTAGGATAAATTCCCAATGCGATTGATGTATTTATTATTTCTGAAAGGACTGGAGATATGACTGTTCGTGAGCATTTCAACAATTTAGTGGGCGAGGAGTACAAACCGTACGATTTGCTATTAGATATTGATAATAGTTCTAAGTTAATTTCCTCAGGTAAAACTGGTTGTGAAAAAAATGATAAAGTTGGTGATTTATATTCACCAACATAATCAAAGTAATTTTTCTGAGAAGAAGACAATTTACTAGCAAGTCTGTTACCTACTGTTGCAAAATGCTCATTTAAAATGTTGGGGATCTGCGATGCTTCCGTGACCATTTTGTGGTTATTGTTCAAGTCTTTAAGTGCACTTATAATTTTAGTCTCTTTTTTCCGACAATTTAATAACTCATTTATTCCTTCCCAAGTTTTTTTAATATTAGTTATGTTATGCTCAAAGTAATTTTGATAATATCTCTTTTTACTTAATCTTATTAAGTTGCAAATTTTGTTTCTATAAAGTCTATACTTTCTATCATCACCTGAAGCATACAGTTTATTTTTAATTGAGATTGATGCCCTGATTCCACTAGTAATCCATGGCTTAGATAATTGTTTTGCTTTACGGTTTGATAATTTTTTAATAGGTGCATGTTTATTTACAATTTTACTAAAGTTGTTATAAAATGAAGAGAACAAATTATTCACATTTCCATTTGCAACCATCCTATCCCAGTCAACTTCTGCGAGATCGTTATTAAAATTTTCAGCAGAAAAACTTGAATAATCTTGCACTTTAGCACAGTGTCTTTTTATAGCTTTATCTCTCGCACATGTTGTGATACAAACTTGTGAGAAATGATCGCTTATATCAGAGACAATATTTCCACTGATGAGAAGTTTTTCCGGGTTGTTGATAAAAATGTTATCAATTAATGTAGCAGAAGTTCTGTGGACACGTGTAGGTTTATCTATTGTTGGAATGAGATAACAACTTTGTAATGATAATAAAAAATCATGGCTTATTTGAGATCTTTCGCATTTAAGAAGATCTACATTAAAATCCCCCATGACATTAAAATCCCCCATGACGTTGGTGCGTGCTCAAAACAATAGCCTGGTATGGTTGGGTGAAAATTGCTCTCGTTTGACTTTGTAATTTTTGTTTCTGTCACTCCAATTATGCTAAAATGAAAGTCAAGTTCATCTAATAGCACAGTTTAGATTACAATTTATGCTCACAATATTATTGTGAAAAATCGAAAAACTAGACTGTATCTCTTTCTCGGAAAGCTTTTGACCAATTTAAAACTATGTGAAGAGAAATATTGACCTTGTCGTTGGATAGGCTGATTAAAGAGATTATGTCCAGTGTTTAGCATATTATCCAAATTAATGTTTAAGTCAAAGACATCTAAGTCATATAAGCTAGTTAATTTGTCTAAGTTGCTTCTAGTTTGGCATGCAGTAGGAATTAAATTATTAAAATGTCCGTGGCAACATGTTAAATCACCTCTAAAGTTAAAATAGGGCAGTTCTTTTAGTTATAACTTAGTAGCCCTCACTTCAGCTTTGTTTCTACAACAACGTTTATGAGGTAGCATGTTTATGAGTGTTTAAAACGATATACACAGTTATACTTCCCATATATACTTATCTTGGCGGCATTATTCCTTCTAAGTCTTCCAAACATTTCAATATAATTATGTTTGAATTGTTTGTCTTTCGCAGATGAACGCGACCATTCTTTGCCCAGCAATATTTAAAATCATTAGTAAATTTAAATTGTTTGCCTTTGTACAAAAGCTCTTGAATTTTCGGTGTTAAGTGATCATATAGATTAATATGACCTACATCTGCGTGGATTTCAAGACCCAACTGCTCCGCATTCATGCTTCCAACGTTTCTTCTGGCAGTCATGACTTTTTCTTTGGCGAGTCTTCGCACAAACTTGCAGACAATAGCTTTTGGTCTGTTTGAAGTTGATCGGAATGGTACTCGATGTGCCGTGTCAATATCATTCAAAGATACATCTTCTGCTCCCAAAGCAGTAAATAACTTGATACAGAGATTAGCAGTCTGTTGGGCAGATTCTTTTTCGGCTATTTCTGGTACTCCATTTTAACATTGAACTGATAGCTGTATGCTTCAGATTCTTCGACAGTTTTTGCAATCAGATCACATCTTTCTGAAATTTTGTTGACTCTAGTAAGTATATCTTGTATCTGCCTTTTGGCTGTTTCTTTAAATTGAGAAAGCTCATCATATTGAGAAGAGATAAATTCAACAGATCGAGCTCGCGTCGGTTTGTCGGCCATGTTGTTTCTTCAACTTTGATTTTGAGGAGAGATCTTCAGATACTATCAGCAAATTTGCTTTTAACTCAGGGACTTCATCTCATAAAGCTTGGTTTTGTTTTTGCAATGCTTCAAGCCTTGTCATGATGATTAATGAAAAATGTTTACTGTTATCAAGAAAAATTTTCAAGCATCAACAATAACACACGTCCGTTAAATTTGTTTCATATGTAAATGAGTGTGAACATGTCCGCTAATTTATGACATCACGTTGGTTGTAAGCTCAACTTACACTGGTTATAAACCTATTAACTCTAAAAACTGTCTACATCTGTTCACGTTTTTCTACAGTGTTTCATCATGTTTACCAGTGAGTAAAGTTTGAAATTATCATCTTGGATGATAGCAGTATATTCAACCATTTTGAAGAGCTTGCAACCAACATGACGTCATAAATTAGCGGACATATTCACACTCATTTACATATCAAACAAATTGAAATATCTCGGGAACAAACCATAAAAACAAGAAACTGAAAAATAAGTTGCACTAATGCTTTTAAAGACTTCTTTCATTAAATAAAATAAGAAATTTCATGTCATGTGCACTTTAATTTAAACTTATTTGCTAAATTGTCCATAACAAACAGAAATATAGAAGCTACTAACAAAATAAAAAATAGGTACACTGTTGCATATGTGCGTCTACTGTAATATAAATACTTATAAAATATTAACCTTGTACCTGGCCTCTTTCCACTACCATCCTCGCTGGAGAAGAGCATATTGGAAAGATCCTGCGTACAAGGTTAAGAAAATATTACTTGGCCCTCTTGGACATTCGCATCCGATCTGTATCTCATACACAAACTTGAGCCGAAGGCGAGAGTTTGTATATCAGATACAGATCGGCTGCTCATGTTTTATCTAGTACATATATATTACTGTTTAATTTCTACATCAGCACTTTTCTCCCATTAAGCTTTTCTCCCATTAATTTTTCTCCCATTAATTTTTCTCCCATTAATTTTCTCCATTAATTTTTCTCCCATGTATATAAATTGGGTTTATTTATAGTTTTGTGTTGTCACATGTAGCATGCTTGTTTGTCATGCATTTTAAATTGGTTTTTCGGTTAGTAGGTTATGTGATATTAAGAACACTCGTGCATGAAGCCGATTTGTAAAAGTAACCAATTCTTGAATTCATCATGAATATACCATTGTTAGAGGCCTTCTTTAGTCCCAATTCACCTAACTTAACACACATTATTCCACAATTAAAACTAATCCATCCACGTTGAAGAGCATGACAGTGAATGGTGCAGTGCTGAAGGATGCTGATCTTGTTGAAGCCATTAACGAATCTTTATGAATTCCCACCACTGAGGTTTACTCCTATCCCAGTATCACATATCCCAGATAAGTATATCATCTCTCCTGAAGCCATAGAGTGTTCTCTATCTGGACGTCGGTTGGCCCAGATGGGATCCCTAATTGGTTATTAAAGAACTTCGCATCAGGTATTAGTACCCTATGAGTTCCATCTTTAACTCATCTATCAGGGAAGGCCACTGTCCATCGTTATGGAAATGTGCAGATGTCCTACCCCTGGGAAAGATCCTGCAACCTCGGTCCATTGACACAGATCTCAGACCAATATCTCTGACTGCCGTTGGAAGGATTCATGTTCAATTGGTTGGCTTCTATCATAATGCCAAACATTGACCCTTTTCAGTTTGGCGGTCAACCGATAATAATATAAAGCTGAATGTCAAAAAGACAAAGGAGTTCACCTTGTCTTTTTTGAAGACCAAGCCCTCGCTCGAACCACTGATCATTAATAACCGACCTATTGAGGTGGTGCATACCGTAAAGTTACTGGGTGTTCAATTATCTTCAAATCTCAAATGGAATACACATATCGATTACGTGTGTTCCAAGGCAAGTAAGCGTTTGTTCGCCTTGAGAATGTTGAAACATAATGGTGTCCATCCACAGGATCTCCGGTCAGTGTATTGTCACTTCATCCAACCTGTTTTGGAGTACGCTTGTCCGGTATGGCACTCTTCGTTACCGTCATTTCTAAGTGATCAAGTTCAACATATCCAGCGACATGCAACCAAAGTTATCTGCCCTTCCTTGTCGTACAGCCAAAGTCTAACAGAACTCGAACTACCTACACTTTTTGACAGAAGAGAGTCGATATGCAAGTTCTTTTATAGGAACAATTTAAACACTACAAGTAAACTATTTGACCTTTACCGAAGCCAGTGCAGTTTAAATCCCGTACCAAACATTTTAGCGATAGCGTACTGTGTGAAGAAGTGGGACGCCTGCATTTAGGGCGAGTAGTTAAATTTTACTCCTGTTTTAAATTTTTAGCTGTATTTTATCGGAACCCTTATTGAAACTTTTTTAGAAATTGTTGTATCTTGAGTTTTTCAATTTTAATTTGTAAAATTGCCATTCAAGAATTTTAATAATAATCTAATCTAATCTATGCAGGCTAGAATACTTCCTATTCCCTTTCATAATTACCTTCTCAGTACATGTGACCCAGCATCACCATTATTTGCAGTCAAGCATCCCTGTACGCACTGTACATGCCACCAGTGGTGATAACATCCAGCACTTTCTTAGGTAAATTTGCCTTCTTTACCCAAGTCTTCAAATAATTTGACCATAGCACCTATGCAAAAACAATAATACTCTTTTATACACACTATATATTGTACATTAACCTTTCCACCTAAATTTATAAAATACTATACATTCGCACAATTACTCATGGAATTTATGTTTCATTCAAATGTGTTAGCTGTTGCTTCTTGCAATGTTCTCTTTTTCTATGATAGTGTTGAAAACCACAATAAGATATGGGCTCCCTACAATTAAAAAGCACCAGTACACACACAGAAAAGCTTACAAACAGATATTTTATCATAACTTCATACACTCTTTGCATGGGTAATGGGTATAATTCATATGCCATTTTTCCACTTTTATAATAATCTGTTCATTGCTGGTAAGTATTGGTATACATCCTGTTTATGAACAGAGAAAGAAACAAACAAACAGAACCAAATACAGAACATCCTCACCAAGATAATTATGACTTTCTGTCTTCTCACTTCCAACAAATCACTGCATGCACATTCACAGATCGACAATTCATATTTTCCGATCGTAAATTTGCTGTCCATCCATTACCAATGGTACGGATCAACAACATTTTGGAGGCCTCCTTTAGCCACTCAAATGCTTGAGCACTAGATTCATGGATCGACATTTCATATTTTCTGATCATGAATTCCCAGTCCATCCATTACCAATGGTACGGATCAACAACATTTTGGAGGCCTCCCTTAGCCACAAACAAGCTTTACCACTAGATTCATGGATCGACATTTCATATTTTCCAATCGTGAATTCCCAGTCCTTCTGTTACCAATGGTACGGATCGACAACATTTTGGAGGCCTCCCTTAGACACTCGAATGCTTGAGCAGCAGATTCACAGATTGAAAATTTCATATTTTCAGGTTGTGAATTTCCAGTCCATCCATTACCAATCGTACAGATCAACAACAGGAACGCTTGAGCACCAGATTCACGGATCGACAATTCATATTTTCCGATCATCAACTCTCAGTCCATCCGTTACCAATAGTACAGATCGACAACATTTTGGAGGCCTCTTTTAGCCTTTAGCCACGAACAAGCTTTAACACTAGATTCACGGATCTACAATTCATATTTTCTGATCGTGAATTCCCAGTCCATCTGTTACCAATCGTACGGATTGATGTTCAGTCATTACCAATCGTTACGACAAAACAAGTCTTCCATCCGTAGCCAAAATTTCACAAAACAGACGATCCGTATGCATGCGTCAGTATTGGACAACCATCTGTGAATGGCACCAATGCTGGAAATGATGTCAACAGGGCCAGTGTCACAGCGACTGGGTTACCATTAGTATGTGTTAAAGTAAGATGTTCTGGTTTATCGAGTCATTACAACGTATGTGTTTTTGAACTCAGGGTCTAACACAACATTCTGTATAGATGAATTGTTGAATCAACTTCGCGTTCAAGGAAAAAGGACAACTCTGTCATTAACCCTACAACACGAGGATTGTACAGCCAACTGCAGCATGGTTAGTTTGGAAGTCTTCAACCTGGATGATGATAACATGGTTGAACTCCCTATGGTGTTTTCTACTCAATGTTTACCTATCAGTGAATCCAGCATTCCTCAGCAAGAAGATGTCGACAGATGGCCTTATCTTAAGGATGTGACGTTGCGGAGAATTGATACTCCAATTGGCCTTTTGATTGGGAATAATGTACCCAAGGCACTCGAACCAAAGGAAGTAAAAGAGTGCAATGGAAAGGGACCATATGCTGTAAGAACAATTTTTTGCTCGACGGTTAATGGCCCACTCGGAAAAGATGAAACTGTGCATCATTGTGCAAACTTAATTCAATCTGACCATGGGCTCAATGAACAGTTTCGAAAATTTTGTGATATGGAGTTCAACGACTCAGTGTTCGACAGCCAATTGGAAATGTTGGTGGAGGATTCTCATGCGCTTGGAATAATGGAAGGCTCGGTACAACTAAAAGACGGAAATTATGAAATAGATATCCATGGAGAAATTTCCCTCCTTGCTTACCCAACAACCGTCCGTTAGCAGAGTACCGCTTGAACCTTCTGAAGAAAAGGCTTCTCAAAAACTCAGATCTTCATTCAAAATATTCAGAATTCATGGATAACTTGCTGACCAAGGGCTATGCTCATAAGGTCCCCCCCCGATAGTTAAACTGACCCACCTCAGCAGCCTTTGTGGTATCTACTGCATCATCCAGTAATCAATCCCAATAAACCCAGCAAGGTTTGTGTTGTTTTCGATTGTGCAGCGTTTGATTGATTCGGTTTGAAGATATCGGTGGCAACGTCCATTGTTAATTCGGGATGGCTAAGTCAAGAGTGGCTCCTCTAAAGGTAACAACAATTCC